TATCACTCAGCCAGCTGCTTTGCCACTAATGCACCAGTCCACACTCACCACTGCGATCTCTGTACATTGGTGAGGTGGCCCTCCCTTCACCACTGGTTTCATTTAGTTTACAAGTCAATTCTGGCCGAGACACCTCCCTACCTGTCCTCTCTTCTTCACTTCGCCCATAATTCTTATCCTGCTAGGTCTAGTGAATACATCGAGCTCCTCATCCCCAATGCTTCTACTGTTTTTGGCCGTAACTCCTTTCGCTTTGCAGCAGCTAACGACTGGAACATCGTACAAAACACCTTCAAACTTACAACTTTGACTCCAATCACCACCGTCAGGCTTAAAATCCAACAGACTGTAGCTGACTGTTGCTCCTTTCACACTTTCACACACCTCATGCACATCTTTTCTCACCCAAATGCATATGCTCCCATGCTTCTCACTTGTTTACTTTTCCTCTATCTTATGTTTATCTATTTGTCTGTACTTTACATGTGTATTTGTTCCTGCTGGTGGCTCTTGGCCAGCTCATGTTTGCAAACGAGAACTGGTTCTCAAACATTTTTACCTGGTAAAATAAAAAAGCCTCACACACTCACCTCACACTCAACCTGTTTTTGGATTAACTATTTTCGTCACAAAGGTTCATCCATCCTTGTAAACAGTAGCTGGAACAATCTACCTGTCAAGTACATTAAAAACTGTGCACAAGAACTGGTGTCTTGGTACTTGGCAAATGGTTTCTTCCATTTGCTGCATTTTGCATGAAGCTATCTGATAAATAAAAACTATTCATTTAGAAGGAATCCTCACTTTTGATGACTAAAACTTTTCCACAGTGCTGTATTTATAAAGCTACTTTATGTGAAAGTGGTCATTTGCCGTGATGAAATCCTGCTGCTCCTTTCAGTTTTAGTGTCTTTCGGCTCATTGATTTGCTTTCTTACCATCAAATTTACTATTTTCACTCTCTGGTTCTGTCAGTGTCCGTTAGCTACGAACTGATGAGCACAGTAGATTCTCCTTTCAGGAGTGTGTGGAGACCAAAACAGAGTTCAAAGGAGAATGATATAGATGTTATATTCATCAGGTGTCCAGAAATGTGACTCCAGATCAGGGGTGTCCAATCCTGGTCCTCGAGGGCCACAGTCCTGCATGTTTTAGATGTTTCCCTCTTCCAACACACCTGATTCAAATGATCAGGATCGTTATCAGGCTTCTGCAGAGCTTGATGATGAGCTGATCATTTGAATCAGGTGTGTTGGAAGAGAGAAACATCTAAAACATGCTGGACTGTGGCCCTCAAGGACCAGGATTGGACACCCCTGCCCCAGATGAATGTTTTTGTGTGTTTGCACGTCAGCCAAATCAACCATGACATCCATGAAGTCAGCGTGAGATGCAATAAAATCAATACCCCAGCCTGTACTCGACTACTGCTGATGTATCCGTCAGCAAACATTTAACAAGAGATTACAGCGCAGAAATGCAAAACTAGCACTCAGAGTATCAACAAGTGGACCATTCAACGGTAAATGTCCTTCCTAATAAGTATCTGGGTCACAACTGTTTAAAAAACTAAAGGGGTCCATATCAGTGAACAGTGAACTTTCCCCACTGTGGGATCAATAAAGTTATCTTTATCTTTATCAAGATTTTTTTGTTAATATTTTAAAACTTACCATCACTTGTAAGATCCTGCAGCAGTGTGGGTTTAAAAGGCCGTTAGTGTCACATTCACAGCTTGTTTCTTGTTATTGCAGCTTAAAGGGTGACATCTTACCCAAAGAAACCTTCTAATATGAAAGACGTCACTGTACCGTCATGCTCAGTGTCAAACTTTCGATTCCCTCTTTGAATCCAAACTTACTCCAGTAACATATACATCCTCCTCCATACCGACCACAACTCATCCTCCCTTATACACATTCTGGATGTGTTAGATCATCTCTGCAGGCTGCAGATATCAGCTCAAGGCAGATCCTTTCTCTCCACTGACGCTCATTTCCTGCGTTTGTTCCAGAGCCTCGCTGCTCTGCTGATATTTTAGGCTGAGAATCCATCTCTATGTTTTAATTGACACGTTCAGTTTTGATTTGTGCCTCTTAAACAGGAGCTTGAATCACTTTGTGTGATTCAGTTTGTGGGCTCAGCTGTATGATGTCTTGAGGTCTGGGCCACATTGGCATGGGTGTTTTTTAAAATTTACCTTTAATTTACATGAACACAATATAAATTACACACAGAAGGACCCAAACAGCACAGACTAGACACAATCACAGCCTCCTTGCTGGAGAATTCACAATACCGATGTTTCAAAAGTCTGTTAGCAGAGGACCAGTCTGTGAGGGAGCCGCTAAGTGAAGCATTTCACAGCTCCAACCTGGAAACAAAAGAACAGTCCCTGGTGGCAACAGCAAAAGCTCACTCCTTTCACTTGTATGTTAATTACCTGTGAAAGAAGACGAGACAAACACCCAAAAGGCAAACAGCTTTCTCCAAAGATTCAGTGTCTAACTCCTGTGACATTTTGTTCTTTTGTAAAAGACAAAACTTGATTCCAGACAAGCAAATATGATTCTTTACGGTCATACAAGTTGGTTATCATGATCTCATATGATGCGTTCACTGTCATTAACCTGTTCCATTTATTCAGCTCTAAGTTTCCAGTTACAGAGGATAACACCAGCAGCTGAGATAAAGTTTGTTAGGACTGATTTGGAAATCTTGAATCTGTAGCGTCTTGAAACTTTGCTGAAAAGCTGCAGATTGAGGCCGATTGATTTTCTTCCACTCGTTGACGTGTCTCAGTTGGAGTCGTCACCTTTTGATTGCTGGTTGTGTTTCTTGGGATCACTGATTAAATATTCTCTGCTTGGAGTCGTTTCATTACGACTCCTGCTGCTGCTACAAAGAGCTCCGTCTCATCAGGAGGTGAAGTGAGGTTTCTTTGTGGTTAATGGAGTCTCCATGATCCCATCAGGCTCCAGCTGACAGCGGTGGTCCTGCCTAAACCCTCCTCTGCTAAAGAATCGGCCCTGTTGTTGGGGAGTTGGCACATTCCTGCCTCAGAGCAGCTTTCAGTCCTATTGTGGCGGATGAAACAAACACAGTCTCTGTCATCCTGCCTGCTTCTCATGTAAGTCATTTGGAAAAGACAGGCCTCATTTATGTCGACCACATGTGCGTTTGTGTTCACGCAGCGTCACAGTACACAGGAGTTTTAGGAAGTGACCGGCAATTAGCAGAGTTTCCTAAATGTTGTCATGTCACGGTCTCCTGACCAGAAACACGGCAGGAACCGAACCTGACTTTAAAAATAGTCCAGAGAGGTGAAATTACAGCGAAGTTCAGCACATTATGTCGGGGACCATCCTCAGAGTCATTTAGGTTGTTTTCTGCTCTTTGTGCTTTGATGTTGTTTGAACCTGCAGCCTGTTGCTGTGAACTAAAATTAGCTTTGTGGCTGAATTTATGTTTTCAGGCTCTATGATGAAAAAATAAAGTCTGAGTAGATTCATGTGAGCAGCAGTTTGTGCCTCTCAGATAAGCAGGTCACAGAGCTGACTGCTGTTTTTTCTTTTCTTTTCTTTTCTTTTCTTTTCTTTTCTTTTCTTTAAGTACATCAACCTGCAAAAAAACTTCAGAAAGTTAAAAAACTGTAGATCTGGATGAAGAAATATTGAGTTTCATAACTTTAGAAGTAGATCAGAAATCTTGTTTTTTTTTATCTTTAATTGAGAAATAATTTTTTATCCAAATGGATGAAAAAGTTTGAGACCTTTAGAAACACAGTAAGTGTCTTTAAGGAACCTTTAGCAACACTAGAAGAACCTTTTCGCTCCATTTTTTTTAAACATATCCACATTAATTTCCATGCAGAAGAAACCATAGTTCTGCAAACTCAAGGTATGCTTATACACATCCATAGAACTGATAATTGATGAACATTCCTACCAACTATTCATACATCCATATGATGCATGTAAAACCTTTATGGTGCAAGTTACAGCAAAATAACTTTTTACACTTAAACTCTATCCTGCAAACAAAAAGTCTTTAACATTCATCAACTGTAAAAACGGTGAAAATAAGAGCAAATATCTGTAAAACCTGGGTTCAAAGAAGTGCTTCATCTATTTATCTCAAAGGAATGTTTCTGTTTTTACTTCTTTAGTTTGTCTTTGCTTTGTTGCACATGCTCAACCTGCTGAAGGTGAAAAACCAAATCCACTGTTTTTTGATGCCATAATGAACCACATGTACGATTAGAACGTTTGACATATTGATGAAAAATAACATTTTATGTGTCTGATTATTATCCACGTACATATACCATCATGTATACCATACTTTTATTTGCTTTTTTTTCTATTTGTTTTGTTTTTATTTATAACATGTAAAGCGTTTTTGAGTTTGTGAAAAGTGCTCTATAAATAAAATGTATTGTTATTATCATATAGCATCGGACAACGCCATTAACTCAGATACACGACAGTTTTCTGCTGTTCATTGCAATCACACATGTCAATTAGCCTCATTGAACATTGTTGGGTACCAAAGTACTACTTTATTTGTCGAGTACAATCGTCCACTGTACTGAAGCAGGTCAAAGGGCTTAATGCAGTGATAGAACAACAGTTACAGTCAGATAACCAACGTAAACTCACACCAGTGACAAGGAAAGAAAGCAAAACTTTAAGCAACACTGTCCTGAGTTGATTCTTAAAGCACCAATGTTTCTGAAATAAACAACCCAAGAATGCAGGACCTTGTTCCGGAGTGCAGCTTTATTGATTTATTTGGATAAAAACAAGCACAACCCTGGTACTTTTTTACATCAGCCCAGATTTCAGGGGTCTAAAGTCTTTCTAGATAACCTTCTTCTTGCACCAGGATCCAGCTGTAACCTGCACTCATGTTTGCACAACTCCCATCTGTCAGTTTACTGCTCAGCCTTCATCTGAGAGTCACAGAAGCATCTGTTTTCTCTCCTGCAGCCAAACACTGGACTCCTGATCCCCAGTGATCCTGTCACCATGCCAACTGCTGCCACCCGCACGGCAACCAGGGGTCCTTGGAGAAGCTGAAGTGTGTTTACATCCCTGGTAGTAAAGAGGACCCAACAGGAGGCAGGTAGGAAAAGGAACAGGACACTGTTCTAGTTGTATATGCACTGATGAAGTCATGTTTACTGTCTCTTCTGTTTCAGACATGGTGGTCCGGTGGAGTCTCCTGCTGGTTTTCATGTTTCTGGTGAACACTGGACTAGTTACTGGATGTGTTTGTCCAGCTGCCACCATTTTGTCCCAGTTTCCCTCCGAGGTTCCTGCTGATGTCTGTTGCCTGAACTACTCCGGCTCTGCCTTCAGCTCTGTGCGCTGGTCTGTGTTTACCAATGAAACAAGTGTGGAGACACTGGACCTCTCCAACTGTAACATCAGCTCTGTTGACAGTAAAGGCAAAGAGGTGTCTTCACTGCAGAGGGTTTTATTGGCTCATAATAGACTGACTGAGTTGCCCCGGGAGTTTCTGGCCAACCAGCCCGGCCTGCTGGAGGTGGATCTGAGCGGGAATCTGCTCGAGGAGCTTCCTGAAGGCTTCCTTCAGGCCTCTGAAGGCCTCCAGAAGCTCTACCTGCAGGGGAACCAGCTGCGCGACCTCCCTGGAGCCGTACTGCAGAAACCCAGTCTTCAGAGGCTGGAGCTGGATGGGAACCGCTGGGACTGCTCCTGTTTGTTACTGGGAGGCGTGGAGGCAGGCGGGCAGGCCAACAGGACCACCAGACTGCAGGATCTGGTGGGGAACCTGACCTGCTCCTCTCCCCGACACCTGGCCGGCAGGACTGTCTTCTCGGTGAGGCTCAGCGACGTTTGCCGCCCGGCCGGCCTCACGGCGCTCTTCATCGTGCTGCCCCTCCTCATCCTCTCTGCCTTGCTGCTCTGCTGGTGCTGCGGGAGGAAGAGGAAGAAGAAAGAAACTCCTGTGTTCAGCATCTCGAAGAAAAGGGCTCCCAGCTCCAGCTGCAACGGTCAGAAACATCAACGCCACAAGCAGCTGCCGTCGGCCGCCGAGCCGAGCAAAGACTGCGGCAAAGAGGGCATCCTGAAGAACCAGCTGCTGCTGCGCCCGGCCTCTGCCCTGCTGGGCAGCACCAGGGACATCTATGAAGAGGTGGAGATCAAACTGGGCTCAGTGGAGTCTCTTCCCAGAGTCTCCTCACGCTGTTCCAGCTCCCAGGAGCCCGACGGGACCAGTAAGACAGAGCTGGACACAGTCAGCGTGACGGAAGTGATGAAAGACTCAACAGACAGAGAGAAAGCTTACCTGACTCAGTCCACAGAGTACTACAGCCTGGTGCCGGGTATCGAACTGGACGACTCGGACCACGGAGAGTATGAGAACGTCGACCTCTCGTGACGTCATCTTAAAGGAACAGTTTGACATTTTGGGAAATGAGCTTGTTTTAGTTCCAAGAAATCTGTAATGCTCACTTGTGTAAAAGCATCACAATGATTTAATAGGTCTTAAAATTCAACTCCAGAGTTGGTACAGGTTTCTGTATTTCTGTTTTTCTGTGGACAAGAACCACACAGTCCGGATTGTTTCAGCCACTGATTAGCTTTTTTAGAAATACCTTAAAAAAACACAACAAAAGGGGGTTTTTTTGTACTAAAACTGTGATTGCTCATAAATAATATATTATATTCCATTGTTAAAAAATATTTTCAGCAACCAGGGAGATGTTAGTCAAGCTTGGAATAAGGAGAAACAGTTAGCTTGGCTCTGTGTTAGGACTAAATCATCTGCATAAAAAAGATCATAGTGATTATTTTTGATGCATGTTGCAATTTGAGTCACGATTTTACTGGAAATTATAATTTTTTTCCTTTTTGGAATTAATATTACATCGACTCATCAGAATTTGTATTTAAGAAATCATCTGTGATTCAGTTTGGACCAATCAAAATAACATTTGCAGATATCTCATATATTATAAATAGTTCATCACGCTGCCTCCTGTTGGATTTTGGTCCAGTGAAGCATTTGAGCAGCGTCAGCAGAAGTAATGCTGTTAAAAGATTGTTAAAAAATGCTGTGAAATAGGAGGAACTAATCAGCGAGGAGTTTGTGGAGAACGAGAGCTTTGATCGTCAGAGACTTGTGGTCAAAACTAACTAGAACTTTAGCTTCAGGCTGGTCTGATATGGTCATGAACAGCTGGTCATTTGCAGATACAGTTCCAGAACCATAGTATGTTAAAACTTCAAGTCATGACATCTGTAGCTACATGTTGGCGTGGCAGAATTCCAGCTTAGGATATCCACGTCCGACTAATTCAGACTTAATTTAGGATATTTAAAAAGAACAATGCAGACAACTTGAATTGAGGGGAATTATAAGTATCTGAATTAGAATTGCAGACATCTACTATTTACATTTTAGATACCTGCAGGTAAATTGTGGATATCTGTGGTTAGAACACATAAATGGTAAAGGTGACATCATTTGTACTAGAAAAAAACAACAGTGTGGAATATCTGTAACATTCTTTTTGACGATCTAAAACTGATTTGCTGATATCTGCAACACACATCCAGCAGTTGGCAGTTGTGACCCTTAAAGGTCAGCACTGTTTTCATTAACCAACAGCATGAATTAGTACGTCTAAATTCACAAACTGTTGTCCCATCCATCCATCCATCTATCCAACCAACCAACCATTTTCTATACACCGCTTAATCCTCACTAGGGTGGCAGGGGGGCTGGAACCTATCCCAGCAAAGGCAGGGGACAACCAAGCACACTCACATTCACACCTGCGGACAATTTGGAATCACCAATTAACCTCAACATGTTTTTGGACTGTGTGGGAAGAAGCTGGAGAACCTGGAGAGAACCCACGCTGCACGGGGAGAACATGCAAACTCCACCCAGAAAGAGCCCGGGTTCCCCCACCGGGACGCGAATCGGCGACCTTCTTGCTGCGAGACAACAGTGGGAACCAGCTGCGCCACCTCGCAGCCCTTGTCTGATGTCAGTAAGATAACTTTTAAGCCTGAACAGAGCCAGGCTACCTGTTTCCATTTCCTCTTGTCGTTATGCTAAGCTAACCTCTTGGCTCCAGCTCCATACTTAAAGCACAGCTTTAGTCTATTTCTGGGCAAAAAATTGAACAAGTGCATTTCCCAAAATGTCTAAAATATAGTTTTAAATGCACTAAAGAGAGACGGTGTGTGAGTGTGTTGCAGAAAATGCAAGTTATCTACTGACAAAGACGTTTCGGTTCGACCTCTGTAGTATCACAATGCAAGAGGAAGTGATTTAATCCGGAGCTTTTCCTGTGGGACCTGAGGAACGCAGTGACGCTTTGAAAGGGAGGTCAGCTTTGCTTTTCTCTCTCTGGAAAAAAAAAAAAAAACAGTTTAAAAACACAAAGACATTTGTTCTATTTAATGCCAAACTCTGTGTGAGTGTACATTTCACGTTAAGACCACAAAGAACAGGACATATTTTTAATTGATGCGAAGTGGAGCAGGCTTTTGTACGTACGCTTCTTTACCTCACCCAAGTGTAATTGTTATACGCATTCCAGTTTGACTTGTTGCTCATTATACTGCATACGAGATGTTTCCTGATGAAGCTGCACAACCAGAAATATAGGTGCTGAACAGTGACTAATCCCGTCACAGTTCTCACACATAATTCAAAGCGAAATGTGGAATGTAAAGCTCAGAAGAAGCCTAAATATGTGTGTCATTCATTGTTAATGAAGGATAAACGGACACCAAAATGTGTGTATAGGTTGGAAAATGTGGCTGTGGCCAGGTCTAGATGCTGGTGAATGCTGGTTGAAGATAAAAATCTCTAAACCAGAGAGGAGACCTGCACAAAAGACAGAGCTGTCATTGTGAAGGTGCAGCACGCAGACACTCGATCGTTATCTAAGATGTGGAAAACAGACGGACGAATCACACCCACACTTGCTGGCTTTCAGAGCTAATTGGTTTGTGCTCGGTGAGAGAGACGAGGGTGCAGCGGAGGGTGTGGAGCTTCCTGGAATTGAAAAAAAAAAATGAGGTGTATTTTCCAGACGGGTTTTTCACATATTTCCCACCGCAGCTTTATTTATCGACATTGTAAGGATTACTGCTTTCCAAATGTCAGAAGCTCCACAGCTAAAAGACAAACAAACAAACGAATGAATGAATGAATGAATGTTGCATTTTGTACAGAAGAATTGTAAAATGGGCTCCAAGAGACGAAGGTCATGTCGTCTTTACTTTTGTTTTTTAGTTTATTTTTGGTTGATTTTAGCAAACTGGAGAAAAAAATATTCCATCATTGTTGTTTGTATGCGTGTCAAGATTTCCATTCCTTATAACGGCCTTGTTGTAATGGTTTACAATGATTTCTTACAGAGGTTCACAAATCATTTCTAGATTTCTGTTTTTTTATTTTCTTGATCTTGTTGGCTTAAATGATAACTTACTGGCAAATTTAGTTTTAATTGTAGCGAATTCAGTTAACACTCTCCATTAGTTTGGTGGAAACAGCTGCCAGTAAAAGACTTATTCATGCTTCCTGCTGTTTTTGTAAAACAAGAAGGCTGTAAAACATGTTTCTGCTGGCTGTGAAAAAAAAAAGCGATATATATATATATACTTTTACTAAGTTTGTAAAATAAGAAAAAAAAGTAAAATCACATTGTTAGCTATTTAACATGAGCTTACATGCTTTTAATTTACATTTTCTGTAACAGCCAGCAGGGGGCGACTCCACTGGTTACAAAAAGATACCTGATTGCATATAAGTGTACTATAAATCGACTCAACTCACTTAATTTGTTTTCTTTGTAAACATTTTCCTAATCAATTTAAAGCCTCAATCACTTGTTGCAAGACTTTTTGAATACAGCACGATGTTATTTCTGTAACTTATGATCCCGTTTAGAGTAAAATAGACAATAAAGCAGGATATGTTTTGAGATAACCATATAGGTTGACGTAACAACTCCTCCATGGTTGTAGTTCCTGCGTGAGTTGCGTTCAATAACTACATCTTGTTGTTTGACTCAGAGTTAATGTTGCAGTCAAATCCATCAGTTAATCCTGAATCAGCTGAAAGGACCGTTTATAGGTATATTCATGTACACATCTGCTTCACATTGAGCCTCCCTTGAAGTCCTGCCAAAGTTCTGTATATTTTCACATTTATCTTTCAGCGAAAAGTCTCAGATAACAAGTTTGGTTCCTGGTTCGCCTAAACTCAGATGGTCAATTGAGCGTTTTCAATGTCATCTGTAACCCCACAAACTGTTACCGCTAGCTAATTAGCTGGCATGCTATTATTCTGGCAAGGCTCAAAAAAGGATACCTTATTCCAAACTCTACTATACCGAGTATTTTTCTTATTATTTCATAATACAAATCTAAAATTGTAAAAGCCTGTTGTAGCAAATTATTGTTTATAAATATTAGGCAATAGCTGTTTAGCTAACGATGAACTGAAACCCCAAACACTGTGGATATTTTAAAAAGTTCTCGTACTCTCTTTTAGACTCTGTATATTCAAATTTGACCACTTTTAGGCCGACAAAATCATAAGTTTGGTCGGTTTTCACTTTTACCTTTAAGAGTCTTTTGCGATATCTGGACAGATTACATGTATTTATAAGCACAATGCTATCTCAGATAGCAAGTTTAGCATGGGTTGCTGGAGAGTAAGCTTTTGCTAAGGTTAGCTTAAACTCTGATAGCGTCCAGCCACTTAGTGCTTATATACTACAGTTATTTCATAATATTCTCTTTGGCCCCTGATCTGAAACTTGGTTACCACTAGCTAGTTAGCTTGGCATGCTAATAGTAAGCTAACAATGAAGTAAAACCGTACACATTGCAGCTATTTAAAATCCTAATTTCAGCCTTTATTAGCCTCAGTATATTTAAATTACTTTTTTTTTAAAAGCCAAAAACTATATTTAAATAACTACCTACGTTTACTATCCTCGTAAGATTTGAAGGCTAACAAAAGGTTTTGCAGCAGCGTTAGACGTTCATGTTAGAAAGTGAAACTTCACCAAACGCGCATCAACTTGACAGAATACATAGATATTTGTCTTTCATTTTGTTTGGAGAAGTTTGAAATGAAATCGGGCCTTGTAAAGTGTTTGATGGGCCTGTGTCTTTACCTGAATGTTTCAGCTACTTTGCTAACTACAGTAATAACAGTTCTTCCACAAAAACAATGGGAATACTGGTATCATATATCATGAAAGCACTGATTTTTGTCGTTATGTTTATACTGGAAGATGCACTACCTTGATTGTTTTTGTACACAAAACATTTTAAGATTGCTGAAAGAAAAATAAACCCTTTTCAAAAAAGATTTCTGCTTCATAATGGTGATTGATAGCCCCATAAACAGGTAATGGAGGACAGAAAAACCTAAACTCTATCATTAGTATATGTGAAAACATGCTCCAGATCTTTTCATTCAGGCTTTTTCTCTGTGGCCTCTCGGCTCTTTCTGCCCCGACAATGACCCGGGTCTGCCCCAGCTACCTGAAATCCCACTTTTCTTTTGAGCTCTGATTTCAGCCACCGTGGGAAGTTGTAATTACAGCATTGGGTTACTGAAACGATGAGCGCCGAGCTGCTTTCTCAGAGGTTTTAGCCCCGACCAGCGGATCAGGAAATGACTGGGCTGCTAATGCTGATCTGGGAGGTGGTTCATCTGCATGGATCAAGGTCACAGAGAGACCATTGTCTATAAATCTGACACACTGGAGCGAGAACCAAACATAGGAACGATAACATAATAGAAAGCAGAACAGGTGTTACAGAAAATTGTTGGGGGGAAAAAATCATAAAAATTGTGTAACAGAGCGCTGATCTGTGCTTTTATGGATAAACAGGATTATAAATGAACACGCCAACACACTATTAAGTATGTCAGGTGTTCTTTTTACTGTTTTCAGTCAATAAAAGGACCTTTGGGCGTCTGTTTATGGCACAAATACAGACAGCGAGGCCTCAGGGTCGAGCCTGGGAGCACGACAAGAGCGCCATCTAGCGACAGGAATTAAAATTTGCCATAAAAAATGCACATTGAGGATAATTTATTGTGACAAATACATAAATCTACAGGTAATAAATTCATCACAAGTTAAAAATGCAAACAGTGTAAGGCTGCAGATTCAGGCGGAGAATAGGGAAGTCCTCAGTGATCTCTGGTTTGGGCTCTGATGGAAGATACATGGTCCCATAAATATCCAGTCAGAGGACAGCAAACAGAGCCAGCGGATAAAACAGGACGGGAGAAAGAAGAGTCTGATTTACAGTGGACGGCCGTAACGATGTGAAAAACAAACAGGCCAACTGAGCTCAGCAGCCAATGACAAAGACTGAGAGACGGCAGCGATGGACCTGATGTTTGGACTGCTGACATGTTGTCACGGTCAGCGGTAAATAACATCCACAAGCTTCTGCTGTGCTGTGTGGGTTTTATTGGATTTACTGTGGTGAGGCTTTAGATCAGCTTAGTTAACAGGTCCAGAGTACCTGCAAGATTTGTTTAGCATATGTAAAAGACAATTTAATATCAAACTATTGCTTTCTATTACCTCAAATAAAAACTTTATTTTACCAGGAGCAACACAAACCAGATAAAAAATAGAATTACAAAACATATAACAATGGCTTACAGGCACTTGGACACAAATACAGAAAATAATTTAGATTCACA